ATATATATATACATATATGTATACATATATACACGCGTACATGCATATAGATGCATACACTTACATAAACACATACATATACATGATTACAGTTCATCAATGATCGGATTGGTACTCTTATTTCTTTATGGCTTATTATTTTGATCCAAGATGTGCAGTATGCTATGAAATAGTAATTATCCCATATTGAAATTGGAATATATCAATAATAATATTTCATGAATTAACAAACAATATATCATCGTGTAGTTTGTATTTTTCAACACTGCGCGCATCTGTACTGTGTCGTTGTCGTGTTGTAATCGTGTCTAGTGTAAATGGGGGCTTTACAAAAACGCAAGCATGACGTTAACACGATTTAACAAGCAAGACGCATATCACAAAAACAAACATCACATGACATGACAAAGAAGCGCACTGTTCAAACACCATCAATATTTGCAAGCTGCTGCTATAGAAGAAGAAGAAAATTTGTTGGCTGCTATAGTTTTGATAATCAAGAGTAAGCGTCGGTCATGTCGAATGCATAAATAGGCCTAAACGAAGTGTATGGGCACAGCCATGGCTCTTACGTCGTCCATATTTTAGACAGTATGAACACTTGCTAGTGGAGTTAAATAGAGAAGAAACAAGAGGCTTCAGAAACTTCCTCCAAGTGAGCAAGGAATTGTTCATTGTGTTGAAAAATTTTTTTGACACAGAGCCACGTGATATAAACCACGGTCTTGATGGTGGCATCGTATCTAATCCTCTCAGCACCGCTGCGACGTCTTGGCTTGTCGTAGGTGTTGTTGGTAGTACGAATGGGCAACACACAGTCACGACAAACGACGACAACGTTACGCCACTCACACGATGCCGCTGCGGTAGACCAAAGATCTTTTTCACGGCTACGATTGAGCACGATTTTTTGAACATTCCAAAAAAATCGTGCTTTATCACGATGACATCAAGATCCAGTACGATGCAATACGATGAATTATTTTTGACCACGACATTTACGACGACGCTATTGCGATTTTTCAAAATTGAAAAATCGTGCCCTGCCGTAGCAAAAATCGTGAATGTGGGAAAGGGGCATTAGATGGGAGATTAAATTGGCTAAACCCTCGGAAATTAAAGAATCACCCCTCTCAATAATTTCCCCTTCTACCCTCAATGGGAGTTTCACACCACCCCGGTAGAAACATCCTTGATCCGACCCTGCGTATCTGCAAATAATGTTGTTTTTAAGTGTTTAATAATACTGTCTTTACTGTTAACAACATTTTTGTTACTTGTTTTAAAGAGTCAAAAAATCGAAATGTTTCATGATTATTTTTGTTTGCAATAGGTTTGTTTCCTGCTCCAATCTACTTTGGCGCCACTATTTCCAGTGCGTGTCTGATTCGCCAGGAATCGTGTGGCCGTGAAGGAGCATGTCTCGTTTACGATCTTGAGCGATATCGCTACTCATTCAGCGGACTGTTCGTTGGGTTAAAATTATTAGCTGTAGTGCTCACATTTTGTACATATGGCAGCATAAATCCCGACCGTTTGAAGGTGTGTAGAGCCATAATGCATTTCACTTATTAAAAATGATATTTAGTAGGTCGTTCAAATCAATTAGAGTGAGGGCTAAAAATAGGGCGTCCTACTCCGTGGTAGAGTAGTAGTGCACAGAAGTAGTCGTCGTCGTTGTTGTTGTTTACTTGTGAATCCGCTTTTTTATGTGAATTTTCTCTGATTTTTTGTTTTGTTTTCGCAGAACAAATCAAAACCAATGAAGCGTGTACAAAAGGACATTGTGAGACAACAATCTCACGAAGAAAAGTTTTAAAAATGACATTCGAAATTTGTTATATAATATGATAATATAGGATGTATGAATATTATCAGCCGAACTTCAATTTTCTACTAACTAAAAATGCACTTGCATGTGACTGTAAAATCTTATGAAAATTTGGAAACGGTTTGTGGGGACTAGGGAGGGGCATCCTCATAGTGAAGGTAGTTTATTAAAAGAAAGGTCAAATTTTTGTTTTCAAAATGACAACAATATAACCATCATATTATTTTGTAGGCATATTCTCTTTTATGCATTCATCTAAGAATTAAATATACCCCATGCTCGCAGTGGCTGCAAAATAAAAGCAACAAGTATTTAAAAGGTTGTGTAATTAATATTTGAAAGATAAAATATATAATTCACAATCAGGTTTTGCCTTGTATAAATATTACCTTTTTTAAATGTAATTTTATAGTAATTTTCATGAATTCTCAATACAACTAAATTGTAATGCATTTTATATCTGTATAGGCCTATCTTAAATCTAATCAGTCATATGAATTAAATCTAGGGCCTAATTGTTAAAACAAATTTAAAACAAATATTTCATATGGAAATTTATTAAGCCGGCCTATATATGAATTTTTACGCACATGTAAGTTGTAACAATTTGTATTTAGTTTTGTTGGATGTGTGTTGGATGGGGGTTGGAGAGCCACGTAATAGTCTCTGTAGTTTAGCTCCCAAAATGAACTCTTTCGAAAAAGGCAACCTCCTAGTGTTGAGTGTTATCATATCTACTGTAAACAATTTGGAGAAAATACAAAACTTGGTCATTGTCATTCCTGATGATGACATAATTAATGTCGTATTATTGAATCCCAACACGATGGCGTGCATTTCGATACTTGGAGTATGTATTATATTATCTTATCTGAGATTAATCAGTGGACCTTTCGAATCAGTGTAATGTAGTAAACCCAAATTTGATATCATAATCTAAAGCTCAATAGGGACGGATTGAATAAATCATAGTTTGTCAATTACTCGAGTTTATCATCATATGATGAGTCGCCGGGTAGGAAACAGGTTTAATTAAATTCTACGATTGATTTACATGGTTTAGCTCTCGGCTATATTTTATAGTTCCAGGTTTCTAGAAAAAGATTGTGTCACTCGTCATGTTAATGTCCTATTAGGCGTGCCATACGTTGCTCTACAGAAGGTCACCAACTTCCGACCAATCACCGATTAAAATAGGATTTATCACTTACCGCCCATACTGTGCATGCTGTGTCTCACTTTCTGAATTTTGTTATAATAAAGTAGAAGTGACAGCACAATACTTGCTTAAATGAAACCAAAGGTATGTTTGATTATTAATACTGGCTAATATATGCCACTCACCCATCATCCAGTACTGATGAATGGCTGCTGCTAGACTAGCCTAGGCCCGTAGGCCAGGCCTATTCACCAGGCTAGGTAGGCTAGGCCTAGCCTAGGCCAAGTAGTGCGCTAGGCCTGGCCTAGTAGTACTATTGTATGGCCCAAGGCTAGACTCTAGGCCTAGCTAATCTGGGAGAAGGATCACATGAATTGTGTTGTAACTATGTTGTGGGCCTCCAGCCTAGCTAGCATACCTACTAGGGGCCTAGGCCTACACTGGCCTACACAATCCTTCTAGGCCTAGGCCCTAGTTATTTAGTAGTAGTAGCTACTACTAGGCCTAGCCTAGTACTAGTACTAGCCTAGGTCTAGTAGTAGTAGGGCCTATGCCTAGGCCCTACCCCTATGGAAATAATTCTTTTCTTCTTTTTTTTTGCAATTTTAGGGTTATCCCCGGTACATGCTCTTTTGTGATTTGATCTGTTCTTGTGTATTAATTGTTTCTGTTGTATTTTTTAAAGAGCATATTAAATAAATCAAATAGGCTAGGCCTAGGCCCTACTACTACCAAAAGCCAGGGCCTACCTACCTGCTATTACTATAGGCCAAGCCTCTAGACTAGACTCAATCAACTGAGTAGTCAAAATCATAATTTATCATAATCAACCATTTGGATTACATCTTTTCGGAGTAAAAGTTGCCTTGTTGTAGATAACTCTTTACTTTTTATTACCTGTTTAGAGAGTTCTCCGGGTTGTGTCTACTATTTCTTTCCTTGCCAGTTTGCTTTTTTATGTGTATTTGACCTGTACATATCAACAACATGATGATGCCAACTGTAAATTTGACAGAAAGAGTAAGTAAATTAATCATCATCATCATGATACCCATCCTCATTAATAGCATCATCATCTGCAGCAGAGGCAGCACCAACTTCAAAATATTATTGATCGTTATTATTATCACACTACATCCACATCATCAATATACAGTTGAACTTTCGTAAGTCGAATCCAAAATGCCATTGAAATTTTGTTCGACTTAGATAAAATTCGACTTACAGATTGTAAATGGAAAACACAACAATTTGGCAAGTAAAATTAGATCAACTTAGAAATTAGATCGACTTAGAAATTATTCCACTTAGACAAAGGCGACTTAGGCAAGTTTAACTGTACATACTGTACATGCATATATACCATATTTATTCAAATAAATGCCCTACTTTGAATAAACACACATCATTCTCAACACATTCTATTAATGTTCTACTCTAATGAAGGATTTTTTTCTAACCTGGTTGGGATCAATAAGTCTTTATGATCATGGAGTATTACATTTTGGCAGTAATTAAGTAGTTCCACAGTGAAATTCAGGGGCGTTTATTTTTTATTCGAGTATTATACGTATGCATTTTACACCCCAAAAAATAAATGCCCTCTCAAAAACACCTCTCAACAGTAAACGCAGGAGACTCTATTCAAATAAATACGGTATGTTATATATATTACTGCACAGCATGTTATTAGGACCCAAACCACGCCTTTCATTTTATCACTATTGTAATTTCATTTTTGTAGACAGAATTATTCAAGACAGAGAGAACTGCTATAGTGCAATCATCAACATAATAAAGGAGAAAAACCAGGAGGTAAAATGGTTATATCATAATCTTATTGCTATATCATCTATATCATCATGATTATCATAGCTATTGGCATCATCATCATTGTGATTATTAACTACTGTATTATCATTGAGTGTATCATAATCATTATCATCATCTTAATCACATCTTTGTCATCTCCATTATTATCATGCTGAACAATATTATTATCATCATGATAATCATTATCAATATCATCTTCATCATCATTATTATTTATTTGGAATAATGTTGGGGCTGTAGCATGCATGTGAGCAAATTCCATCATCAGTCATTGCAATGCCTTCATCATATTTATTCAGATTATCTTGACTATCATAATTGTCATCATTATCAACACCATTATTTTTTTCCATGAATCTTAAACCATTGTATTATCATTATCTCTATCATCATGATAAACAAAAATCAGATGACACACACACCCACACCCACACACCCACCCACACACACATTTCACTAACCATTTTACTACAACTGTATTCAATATATACAGCACACATATCCTAAAAATTGCATCATAAAACTTAATATGACAAAAATTTAGTGTAGACAATAATAAAATTAGAATATGCATATTACAATATAAAATTCTCTCATAATTAAATAAAAATGCCCAATTACGAGAACTTGCATTGTAAAAACATTTTTTTTATGATTCCAGTTGTTTTTGCAAGTGCCATCAACATTTTTAGCTGAATACAAAACTCCATGTTGGTACAATGGCAGCGACCACCTTATCTGTCTGCCTTACTTCTACATTGTCGGTTTCCCAAAGTGTGGCACTACGGACCTCTGGGATAAGATTATCCAGCATCCCCATGTTGTAGCAACCAAGTTCAAAGAGTATCAGTGGTGGAGTCGAAGATATGAGCGTCGTGGCCGGTCGCCTGTTGAAACATTTGCAGGTGAGCGTGATGAGATTCTCGCTTGGTTACTTCTACCAGGGAATTGATTTTTAATAATAAGTAGCGGATTTAGTAATTTGAAATAAAGGTTTAGGTGGGAATGTTACAGATAGGGGGCCCAGACTACCTGAGCCCCACTGTTGGGGCCAAGGTAGGCCCTACTTAATTTAATTTCTATGGCATCTCTAGATGGATGGAAATGGCACTCTCAATCTTAAATTTGAATACAATTTTCTTTTGCCTCCACTTTTTTTACCTTCAAAAATTTAGGGTGCCCGGACCAGCTGACTGCCCCTTAAATGCTCCTCTGATAATTATGAATGTGTCTGGATTTCTTATTGTTTACTTGTGTTGCATTTATTGTTTATTAGGTGGGGACCATTATCAACCATCTTCTCTGGAATGGTACCTAAGTTCAATAGGAGAATCAACATTTCAAACGATCCGCAATATGAAGCCCATTAGGCCTAGTCAGACCGTACATCCAGCAATTTTCGGTAAGTTAATTTTGCCACATGCTACAAATCTGAACCCTCTGTATGTGACAAAATCTGCAACCATTAAAAAAACTCAATAACACATTGAATTGCTCAATAAAAGAGTCAAACAGTGGTCAACTTCCAATGAGTTAGTGTCGAAGTTTAGATTTAAATCATTTCAAGGTTTGCTTGGTTCTGTTTGCTGGAAAAATATTATAATAAAAGAGTCAAACAGTGGTCAACTTCCAATGAGTTAGTGTCGAAGTTTAGATTTAAATCATTTCAAGGTTTGCTTGGTTCTGTATGGAAAAATATTATATACTGTATTTTAAAAATAATTTTAAATAAATCTTTTCTTCTTGCTAAAGACTTTTATACTTTGTTTCGTGAACTGTTTTAAAGATTGTCAGAGCAGGGCGGGAAAAAAATTTGTTTTCTTATTTAGCAAAACGATATTGCCAAAACCATCTAGCAAAGGAGAAAATAAATGTAGATTTCAGTGGAGCGGGGGGGTCATAATATATATATAATTTCATTTTTTAAATGAAATTTCCTTTTTTTGTCGCAGAGGTTTCTAACTGGCCAAAAATATAATTTTATTTTTATTCAAAATCAACATATTTGGTGGTCGGAGGGTTCGCTAAACAAGGTATAAAAAAGTCCCACCTAAAACAATAAAATGTTAAAGTTCTAAAATTGTAGATAATGATGAAAAAAAACAAAAAAACAAATACAGTTGAATAGCTTATTGGGTTTAGATGCTTGCCTTATAATCAATTCCTGTCACAGCAGGACTTTTTCTCAAGACCAAAAACACTTCCAATTTCTAGGCCTAAATAAAGAATTGTTCCATCCTATAAGTGTCGAGTTGCTGTTAAATGTGAAGGAAATATTTAAAAAAAAATAAGGATGATGATGATTGTGGTGATAGTGATTGTAATGGGGGTGGTGATGTTAATAGTAATGGTGATGTTAGTGGTGGTGTGATGTGGTAGAGGAGGTTATTGCTGTGATGATAGTAATGATGATACCAAATTATACAAAGATTTTGTTTTATTTTTTTTTCTAGGTGATGCTTCCATGACAACAGGATGGTTCTTACCATCTACTTGGTTAGCAGATTTTGAAGTTGAAGGTAATCTCATAGCAACTACAGCTGATCTGATTTATGCTCTTACACCCTCTGCCAAAATAATGTTCATGTTGCGGGATCCAGTTGAGAGGTAAGCTGTACAACACATCCAAGGATCCATATTTGTACAGTATTTGTAGTTCTGTCTTACAGATATATTGTTTATGGAGAAATATTTAAAGTCAATAAAATTAATTGCATGTTACTAGGTAATCACTTGCTTAGCATTACTTCAAACTAACAACTAAAATATTAAATTAAAGAATAAGTGATTACTAGGTAATCACTTGCTTAGCATTACTTCAAACTAACCACTAAAATATTAAAGGACCTGTACAAATATTATAAAGTATTGATTATATTAAACTACATGAATTATATTGAACTATTATTTGTGTATTCATTAAGTTCTGTCCAGATTATTAAATTTTCTTTGACAAAAAAAACTGTTGTATGCCCATATATAGTCATGATGTGCCTATATATGGTCATGATGTGATGTCATCATGACCATATTTAGGCATGTCACATGTTTTTATCAAATAAAATTTGATAGTCTGGACAGGGCTTCAAAGTACACTCCTGTTACTTGTGTTAATAACAGGACTTACATTTGGAATTGATTTGTTCTTCATGCAATTATTTTCCTTAATTAAATACTTAGGTTATACTCTGGCTATATTTTTTCAAGAAGAGCCAGCATTAACAAATCTGGTGAAGATTTTCATGGGATGGTAGAGAAGGCTGTTAAGTGTATGTATGCATGCATGAATACACACACTGTAAGATACTGTGCTTATCACACCAACTTATGTCAGGTAACGGGTCATATTCTGTAGCTAAATTTCAGATCACTTTTCTTATCAAATGATCAACTTATATTTCAATTCGATCTCAATTTTATTTAATACACCTCCAAAAGTGGGGAGTAAAATATACATATTATAGTTACATATAAGAAACAAACAAAATATATACATCAATAACGAATATAATACAAATGGTTGTAATACCAAACAATTTTTTTCAATAATAAAAATTAAAATAAATTTAATTAAGACAATACACTAAATATTTAAAGTGAGTATAATATACCTCTACTGTCCATCTCTTAATATAAGATAATTCATTTAATCAGACATTTTGCATGGTTTTCATATTTTTTCTTTGTCAGAATGCAAATACCAGTCTAGTTGACCACATACAAGCAGGGATGTACATTATATTCTTACATGATTGGCTGAAAGTTTTTCCAAGAGACCAATTACATGTCATCCTATTGAACCATTGGCATGAACAACCAATAGAGACACTTCATAAAGTTTACAAGTTTCTGAACCTTGGTCAGTTGAACTTTTCATTTATATAGTATGATGGATTATAAGACTAACAATACCATATGAGACTACTTCATAAATGTGACATAATGGAGATTAAGTTCTTGGTACTCTGACTCAGTATGGATCTTTCTGCTAAGCCCCGCCCCTTGGATCCTGTTGCTAAGGTCCCACAAAATGACAGCAGAAACATGCATTTGTGGGACCACACAGGTGTTTCTCGGACAAGTAGGTACTTTTCCAATTGACACTTCAGGAAGGTCCTTTCACCTGGGCTATTTTTCCATTTATCAGAAATTAGGTACTGGTAAGATATATACAGTATATCTCTTTAGTCGCCCAGTTTTGACCTACTCTGCATTTTGCCCATTTCACCCATACTGGAATAGTAACCAATGTGGTAATGAACCTTGTAAGTTTATAGAAAAAATATTTAATTAAATATTACATTACCTGTTTGTGTTACAGTATACAGGTATATTAAATAGAGATGTAATTCATTTATATTTTATTTTTGCTTCAATAATAGATACTTTAGACAATTATAGTATGGCTGTGACAGTAAACAGATCCGTGAAAAATATGCGATCATCAAAGGACAATTTGTTAGGACACATGCTGCCTAAAACACAAGCAATTTTGGAAAAGTTTTATCGGCCATTCAACTACGACCTTTTTGACTTCTTACTGATGAATGGATGGATATCAAGGTGAAAAGGTACCTCCACTTTATAACAACAATAATAATTGATTTCAATTTATGATATATTCAGGAAAACCCATCCCGTCCCCAACTCCAAAAAAGTATTAAAAAAAAAAAACCAAAAAAACCAATATCCACAAATTGACAAAATACATTATCAAACTTAAATACAGTTCGCCCTGCAATTTGAGACCACCTTTGGAACCTGGAAAATTGGGGTGGTCTTGGAGTTAACTTTGCGTTAAATTATTGAAGATTTGTATTAGGAGGTATCTGGTATAGAGTGATCTCGAATTGGAGGGCAAACTGTAATTAGTTGGCTTAAACACCCCTCAAGTGAAGGATACTTATACGCCAGTGCATGGGCTGGAGCCTTTTTGATCTGGCATTCCCCTATGGGAGTCTGTGTGATTGATGGCAGAGAACGGGTGAATAATTTTGAACCGATTAGATATCACAAAAACACATTTAGCAGAGCATTTAAAGATATGGTAAAAAAAAAAACTATGCAGAGACTTGGATTAGTATTATTTAAACATTTTTTAATTGACGTACATAATTCATTTTGTAGTTTTTATATTTAATGTTCAAGATTATATATGATTTTCAAAAGGTGGCATTATATTTTTAAGTGATCTGTATTTTATTAACAAAAGTTTAGGTTCCTATTACACACAATGGAATAAGCCTGTATTCATTGGATATTGAAGTTTTTTTTAGGACAGTGTTAATACAGTAGAATAAATCTATATTCATCTCACATGGGTTAATTCTTAAAATTCTGTTTTTTAACACCTACTTACTATTTTAGGTCAGTCTGTTTTTCCCATTAAATCTCCTAAATCGTAGAGCACAGACAACACTGCTGCCATCTTAACAATCTATACCTCAACAGTTACCTGACAATTCTAAATATATGAATAGCGCCACCACACTAGAAACTGCATGAGAATTTTCTTGGCTGTGGATGGGTTGGCAAATTAGGCGAGACTTTTTTTGTACCTTGTTTACTCCGCGACCACCAATAATGGTGATTTTGAATAAAATTGAAATTTTATATTTAGCCACTTAGTACACCCTCTGCTATGAAAAATATAGATTTCATAAAAAAAAATTATATTTATTATTATTACACCCCCCGCTCCCCTGAAATCTCCAATATAAGATATATTTCTTCCTTAATTATATAAATTTAAAGCGTTTATCAATCTCATTACTACACTGTATAATTCATTAATACACTGTTTAATTCATTTATACAATTTTATTTTTGTTTTCTGCTTTTCTGCTAAGTGGTTTTGGCAAAAACATTTTGGTATATGAAAAACAAAATTATATTTTTATTCCCCCCTCCCGACAGTCTTTAAAAAATAAGTTCGCGAAACCAGGTTTAAAAGAGGCTTGTCTTATTGGTCTCTACTAAGCTTGATAATAATCTTTAAAAATGTAGGTGAATAAATTTGTTGAACTAGTCATCAAACAAGTGATTTAAAACTTACTGTTTTTAACCTATAACCGAAAAGACATTCATTCCTCAAGACACAAGTTTTCTCAAAAACAATAAAGATACTGTAAACAGTTATCAATTTTATTAACTTTTATTGAAGAAAAAAAGATTTAGAATAGTAAAGATATGTACATTGTGCAGTCAATAAATTCATGCTGATAATTATATTATTTACATCCACATTTACAAAACATGCTATTGGACACCTGTATGCTAATATTCTATGTGGAATCCTGAATTACCTGCACATTACAAGATTGAGATGCAAAACTTTGAAACTGCTGCTATTGTTCGATGTGTCGCAGGTAAATTTACTTTAGTATGAGATTTAGATTGATTATTTAAGTCTAAAGTTGCTTTTTTTACAAGCTGGTCTTATATTTTAATAATCAATTTTCAGCTTCATAAAAATGGAATATCTTTGATTAAGATTGTAGTGCTGCATTAAAAAAAAATTGAGTGATTGCCAATGTTGGCATAAATGTGATTTTTTTTTCCAAGAATACTTGTCAGCTCTAAAAAATTTTGGGCCATGATGAGCCTTGACACTTGCACCTTTCTGTGCATTAAACAAAGTTAAGTTAAAAGCAGAAAAATGTATCTGTCTATTGCTATTTAAGATTAAGTTTTAAGAGCCCACTTTTATTAAAAGATCAGGAGAGGTCAATTTTAGGTCACACGATCAGCCATGGTTCATTGCATAATATGACACAATTACATTGCCATACCTGGAACAACAAAAAAATGTGCAGTTACATGTACAAATTGCTAGGATGGTTAATATAGTGTCTATGACATCAGGTTTTAAGCAAATCATTTAGTGCACTTGTTGTTTTCTCAATCTTGTTATGTGTAGGTAAATAAAGAACATTTCATATGGCATTAAACATGTCTGTCCCATTCCTCACATTTTCCCATATAGTCAATATCAAGTGTAAATCTAAATTTAAATAAAATCGGTGCGTTTAGGATTTGTTTTCTTTTTTTTTCTTAAAAAATATGATAGAAATAAAAACTTAAAATATATATGTCTACATAATATCAATCAATCTTACAATACAACAACTTCCATCTATTATATTTCCATAATATAAAGGTGCATCCCAAATTTTAAATACTTATTGAAAGATAATTAAATGCAAAAATAAGTTACAAGCACAAATTTACTCTTGACTTGATGAGTATGCCGACATTTAACTGCAATAGAACATTTAAAAATGGAAAACATTAAATAGAATTCAGTTTTTTGATACAGGCTATACTACTGGAATATCCCATCTAAATTACTATCATAAGTATCAATACCAAATTCCATAAACAATATCCATCTACTATGATCAATAATTTAAAATAATATAATAAAACTAATAATAGCTATAATAAATAAAAATAATAACAACAATATAAATACTTATGATTCTTAACAACAATAATATTTGGCTAAAATCATCACCAGAGAATACCAAGAGAGATTGTACTACAAACATTTCTGTTGACCAAAACCAGTTCAAAAGATGCTATAAATCTGTTATTTACAACTTCCAATGAAAAACATTTAGTATATTTGGACAGATCTTTGAAAGTATTCCTAATTAAAATACTTATGCAGCAATTAGTATTAATGATCATATACAATCAAATTATCAAGAAGACCTACAACATTTAATTCATTTACTTATTTTGTGCTTGTACCACTACTTTGCCAGTCGTTTAACGTATAAAGTATTTGTTTTAAATTATTATTAAATAATTAAAGCTTTCATGTGAAACAATTTTGAGGATTACTTCTATGTTTTTTGAGAATTTAAAAATCCTGGCCTCTCCAATTATTTACTGGCTAGGATGTAGTTTTGCATACTGTAGCCTCTGTATAAAAACACCCACCGACTTAAAAAATGCCTAATAGTTCACTATGACAATGACATGTACATCACTTTAATGCATTTAATAGAGAACCTTTAAATAACAGTTATTTTATTAACTATAAGCCTTAAATAGCAATATCATTATTAAATTGTATTAATAATTATTATTAATATTATCATGTATTCCATTCCTCAAATTCAATTTACAGAAGTTACTTTATGATCTTTAAAATTGTTAGTTTCTGAAGAAAATGTATCTTTAAATTCTAACTAGGGCTAAAATGTGTTTACAAATTTATTTTGTATAAGTTTGAATAAATTATTTATAGGACAAGGTGAAAATAAAATGGACTTAAACACTAGTTTGTAGAGTTTAAAGTAATACCATCTTAGAGAAGCACACAATTAAAATAAAAAATACTGCATTAAATTCTCAACAATAATTTTCTTCCTGACAAAAATTCATAAAAGTGCCTCCCAAACAAAGCTAGAGATTCAGTGCATAAAATCAGTAGTATCTATCAGATAAATATGATCAGTGTGTCAATGAAAGATTATTTAATTATGTACAATATCTGTTTATTAAAGTACAGTACAATAGTAACATATTCACAGTCCCATAAAAGTGATAGAAAATGTATGTATACTTTACACATTTATAGTTAAACAATTGTTGTTTATATTGAGTACTGTACTGTTTCTAAATAGATCATAGTAGTAATTAAAGACTGTAGTTTTCATTTCTACATTGCAGAAGTACAGTACTAGAAAAGAAGTTTATTTTAGACTGGAAGGTTTGTCAGCACTATATTCTGTTTATTATTATTTATTTTATACATTATTATTATTATTATTATTGAAAGTAATAATTAAAATATTAGTAATCAATAATTATGATAAAAATAGTTAAAAACAATAATAACACATTTTGCATTTATAGTAATAGTACTAGAATGATTGAAAACTGTAAGTTCTATGGTTGACATGGCAACTGGCTACTTTTGCTGGTTGAGGAACATTCAAAGTCATGTATATTCATTCATTTGCATCCTACCCGATGTAGGCTTACAATTATATTCTTGATCTTGGGTGGGGAGACAGATACAAACTAAGCTCCTTACCATAGCATAGAATACGAACCTCTAACCTTAAGTCTATAATGCTTCTTAGATGAAATATGAACTTGAAAATGTGCTACTCTATTTCTTAGATTTATTATTTTGTCTGTTGTCATTTTTTAAAGTTTGTAAACAGAAATTTCTTAATGTGACTGCACTTTGTTGTATGTATTTTTTTATTAAAATACATTTACAAATAAATATTAAATACAGTTGTACTGAGTAATGGTGCTGTTAATATAACTTTCCAGGGTCTCCGCACCTAAATTCCATTTTAAGACTTTTATAACATTATAACCTTAACAAATAGTTATGTAATGATAATTCGATGATTTTTTCATGAATATAGTTACATTACTTTTCCAATCCCTCTCACCGCCCCACCCCCCTTCATTCTCCATGACTCCTAAAACCTTGCTTCACAACTGATTGGTATTATGTTGAATTATCCATGGAATGTTTCCTGAGCACCAGATGCAATGAATAAGTAAACAGAAATGAGAAAAGATAATTTTAAAATTCTTAAGCCATGTCCTCACTATCAAAATTTAATTCGACAAAAACGTGACATTCCTAAATATGGTCATACTGACATCATATTATGATCATAACAAGCACATCACGACTATATATGGACATAAAACTTGACTCCGCCTACTCTGCCATACCAGCAAAGGACAATTCCTACTAATTTGAAAAGTGAATGAAGTTAATTTAAGAATGGAGGAACTAGTTTAAGTAAGTCTATCCTGAGTCAAATCCGGAATTTCAGGATGTGCAAAGGCCAGGGTACTAGTTTTGGAATCTATCAAAGAGACAGGTGCCCCACCCCACTTCACTAAATTAGTCATATTGAGAATCAATGTTTTGATCTGCTATATTTGATCATTATCAAGGACACAGTATTACTGTATATCATCAAAATATTCCAGGCCCCTCTAATTCAGAGACCCCTCTAATTTGAGACTATTTTTTTAAAGAACCAAAAGACAATCTTCAACACAAAGCTAACCCTCTAATTGGTAACCAAACCCCATGACCATCTTAAATTTTCAGGTCCCAAAGGTGGTATCGAATTGCAGTGCAAACTGTATACATTATCAAGAATCAATATTCTTGATAATGATCACATAAATCAAAACATGAATTGAATCTCAAAATGTCTCTGTCTTTATTCATTCTCTTTTGTTTAATTAAAAAATAATTAATGGATCCCTGGATATTGATATAAGTTTTAAAAATGACACTTGCATTTAAAAAAGGTGGTATTTAATTAATGATCCTTAATAAGCCAGAGTACTAATTTAATCTAAGTCATAATTATTGTGAATAAGTGACAAAACGTTTCATAGACAAGTAGAAAAAGAATTGTCAGTCTAAAAACAATGTCAAAAACATGTAGGGCGACAAAGGGGAAGTTTCTTCACAGACCTCACAAAGAACCAAATTAGAGATCTCAAATGTGAAAAACCTCCTAAAACTGACTAACAAAGAGAGGGATCATGAACTTTATCAACATTATTGTTATTGTCCTCCAAGCCTCAATGTTGGCTCGGTATTACCAGCACTGTTAAATGAACTGTCAATATTCCCTTTAAAAAATTCAAAACCCCATTACCCTAATTACCAACGTAATTAAAAGATGATAAAGCTGTAAAATCTCACTCTAAGAACAAAGGTTAAAAAGGAGGTAGCGGTTAAAATGTATAGTTTTGTTGCTGCCCATCAGGAGAATATTGGGAACCAACAGCCATCAGCAAGCTGAATCAATTAGAATTTTGAGGTAATTACTACCAGTTGAGGTAGTCTTTCTGTTGATAACTGACCATAAAACATACCAGGAACAAAAGATTCAAAATCCAAATTGTAACTAGAAAAGGCCTACCATAAAAATGGTTAATCAGATATATTAAAAGGAAATTTAATTTTTGTTTTGCAATTACACACCAAAAATAAATTCTGTTGGCATCTAAGTATGTATAACTAAATTTTTCAAAGAAAAATTCACAGTTAAAATTTCATTTACGAAAAGATGATTTGCCATGTTGTAAGTCTACGTCATAGCTAGGATTAGGAAAGCTTAGAATTTTGATTAGACTAGGCTATAGTAAGGATTAAGTCCAATCGTAACTAAGATTAAGAAACATTGTAGTTGGTATTAGGTTCCATCTGTGAATTCTAATATTTCAATACCAGATTACGATGAAATCAACTGGTTAAGATACTGTGACTTTCACATAAAACAAAACAGTAGATTGCAATTCATTTAGCTGCAGTGGTTATCACCAATGGCAGATCCAGAAATTTGAAATAGAGGGAGCCCAAGGAAGGACTTTCACAGATAGGGTTTCAATGCTACCTCGGGCCCACCATGGTTAAGCATGAGGTAAGATGAACTATAGTTACAGCTGGAAATGGTACTCTCAAACCAAAATTTAAATATAATTAAGTTTATTAATGATTTGTTTCTTTTAACATAGGCCTATATCCTATTCCTCTGGCTTCTACTTCAACAATATGTTATTTTTAGTTACTTTCATTTAGATTTATGTGCCTCACACATTCCACCCTGATACTAAGTCTCTTGCTTACACATTTTATGGGATTACATACACACATGCCCATGTGTCAGTATGGGAATGTAGTGCATAGAGGTATTCTACCAATGTGTGAAGAGATGCTCCATAGACACAGATCAATATGGGAATACATTATACACACACTCTATGTTAATAACAAATAAAACAAATAAGAGATCAAACTTCCAATTCAATGCAGAAACTTAGACCTTCTGCAGGGAAATTTGTTGTTTGGAGATCATTTACCATCTATTTTGTTTACACAGTGGGTGCATTGGTATACATTTATAACACTTAAAATAGTACTACTTTTTTTTTTAATCAGTATACATTTTTAATTTTATTTTTTTCATAAAAAAAAAGAAAAACCCCAGAAATGAGAGAAAAAAAAAATGGCATAGAAATCCTGCAAGTCTGTCTGGACAGTTACAAGTCCTGAGTATATATTAAAATAACCTTGTAAATGATTTGATGTTGATGTTACTGATTTCATACAAAATTATTTGGTTCATGCTCATTATACTATCAAACATGCCTTAAGATTCTCTACTTGAAAATCAATGTAGTAATAAAAATAGACCTCTATCAATGCTGACTATGAAAACAATATCATCGAAGTACAACTTTGTACCAATGTGTTCATTGACTTTATATTAAAATCAAATGTCTAAATAAATATTACTTTACAAAAATTTTTTTCATTTTCTATAGATGAATTTAGATGCAAAATTTCAAATAAAAAGGTGGTTTTATCATTCATAATGCACTATTTTTTAAACTAGCACGATACAATATTAGGTACGCTATTGCACCCAAGATGTTTTTAATATTAAAAATTGGGCAATAATGAAAACTCACTTGGAAATGTTAATTCCAGAACGATTAAATATTAGGCCAAGTTAAAAAAAAAAATGTTTTTTATATATCTGTGTATTTTGAAACCTGGGAATACTCTTTTATTATTTTCTCTTAAAAAAAAAATGCTAAAAGACACACACGAAGTAAAAGAAAAGCAACTGGCATAGAAAAAGGTTTAGGGGTGTGTCAATTTTTTAGCATAAAAAATTTATTTAATTTAGGATTCAGTTTGATAAAGAAAATTGGAACTAAACTACCAAATATACCCACCCTCATTCAATATTTCAAACCTTATAATTATTATGAGTATCTTGATGTTTAAAGCAATTTTTTTTTTTTATAAATTGTATACTCTAGTCTACAGTAATAACCAGTATAAATATCCTCCAAAATGGATAAATGGTTGACCCACCCCAATACATTTTTACCCAAATACAATTTTCAGATTTAATATTAGACCAGGTGATTAACAAATAAATTGTTCCCATCTTATTAACAAAAAAAACAAAAAAACACTTCTTATCACACATTTTGACCAAATTAGTTGAACCTTGTGCAGGCCTTTTTCCATCTGCACTGTGTACACCACATGTGTCTGTTATCCATACCGTAGACCTTCCGGCATTTACGTCCATCGCTTCTGATCCTGTTTGGTGCGTGAAAGTCGCTAGTTTTTGGTGAGGCTGCCTGATGTTGCTGTTGTCTTTGATTGACTAAGCTTAACTTGTGGGTGTGGATGGTCATCTAGATAAATTTTAGAAATTATCAAGTGTATTAGGAAGGCTCTAACAAAACAACATTAATGTAAAAAAATAGTAGTAGGCCTATTTTTAAGGATCTGACTTCAAATGTCATGCAATACATGCCATTGTCTATTAAGATATCTTAGGGGTGAATTGAAGGGTGCCCAGCAGGCCTAGACCCCTAAATAATAAAAAAAATTATTAATGGAGGAAAAAGATAACATTCGAGTGCAATTTCCAGCCAACTAGATGTGCCATGGCATTACATGTTGTACCTCAGTCTCTACCATGGCATCTGGACCCTCCACACATTCTGTGAACTCCTCATTGTTCTTTTTTTTTTAAATGGTAATATTGTGAGCCAGAAACAAGTGAGGATATTGTAGCTTAAGGGCATGGTTTCTCAGAATCATAAATCCAGATCATGCATCATGTCTTTTTTTTTTTTTTTTTCAAAAACCAGTCATAATGATCTTCACATTAACAGGTTTTTTGTGACTCAGTGATTCTCCCCACAAATGGGTATGACATGACATTATTATGACCACACCCAGCTATGATATGACATCATCATGCTCAGGCATAGGTACTGAATAGGCCCCCCAGCTTAAAGAACAATAAAAGAAAGGTATGATATCATTATGCCCATATATGGCAAATCAGAGATATTTGTCAATATAAAACTTATTAGTATGGCTAGAACTTGTTAGAATATCAAATTTATGCCCACCATGTTACCTATAGTTTGATAAGAATGAAATAATAAAAATAATAAAACTACACGCTTACCTCTGCTGGGGCCGAAGTGGCCTTGAATGCTGGCTGAGAGCTTTTCTGCCAAGAAAATCTATCATGAATTGGCATTGGCTCTGCGTTCTGAAAGAGATTAAAATGGCAATCCAAAAAAAAGATTGGATAAATACATAGCAAAGGAAGTTTGTTTTTATGAATTTTATCATAAATATACTGATATTGATTATGATTATGATTCTTTAGCATATGTCAAAAATTATATCAAAAATTATAAAAAAAAAAATACCCACCATACTGATAGTACGTAGTTTTGGTGTAACTAGTATGTTTGGATCCTCATGAGGGGGTCGGGCCATGTCCATATGGCTTAATGTTGGGGGCGGGGATGAGGTTGTCATGTTTGCAAACCCCTCTGATACAGTATCTATTGTGCTCTCAATTTCTGTGTAGTAGAAATCTTCCTCACCATCATCACTTTCATCATCTTCCAATGGCCTCCTAGGAAGTGAAAATAATTTAATATATTACGTTATAAAACACCTACATTAAACATAAATGATATATTCATATGCCCCCAGCACTAGCGATGTAAGGCTGCTGGAATGAATCCAGAGGGGCCTTCAAAAAAAAAAAAAAAGGAGGAAGAGAACATATAATATGGTATTGAAAGCCATACATGATGATACAGTACCTCTAGAACAGTTTGTGTACTCGTATTGACTTTATTTTTTTTAATATACAGTTTCTGTAACATCACTTAGCCTATACATTTATTCATAGTTATTGACAATAATATGGTTAGTATGTAGGTGTTATACAAAGTTGTAAATAATAGGATGGAAAAAAACAGTAAAACAAATGAAAATTTCAAGAAAGAAGATATAAATGGAACTCACTTTAGGTGTACTGATCTAACATGCTTTTCAATTCCTTGTCGTGTACACAAAACCTTCGTGCAGTTATTCCATCGGCACTGATACAATTTCTTAGAGCCCTACAAATAATAACAGAGGTGAAATGCATGTTAAGAGGAAATTGGTCTACTGTAGGAAACTCAGGAAATGTCAAGTTGCGTTCACTGAAAGTAGGCTATCTTTTACAATTTTGTATACCAACTTTTGTTTCAAAAGGAAATGAACAGTGAAGATGAACTAACATTTACTAACTGTCCAATCAAAATTGATGTTCCTCATTAACGAATTATGAAAAAATTATCACATTTAAAAGTAACCAAATTAAGATGTAAAAAGAATCACATGAAAGTCACTAAGGTATGAAGATACACTTCCACTGGTGTTGATTAAAGATAATAATAAATATTTGTGAAAAATGTATGTCCCCATTGGGATTCAAACCCAAAGACGTGATTACCATTCGGATACTCTACCATCTGAGCTATGAGGCTGAGTGGTATACACCTTTGGGTTTTCCCATTAGGATGGGTTTTCCCATTAGGACACGTTTTTCTCAAGGTATTGCGTAATATGTAACAAATAATAGTAAATCACATGAAAGTAACTTAGGTATGGATGTAAAATGAGTAGGTCATTCTAGTCAATGTTAAACTACAAGTATAGAAAATGAAATAAACACATTGAACATCATCAACGAACCGATCAATCAATCAATCATTCGACTATCAACAGACCAAGCAATATAATATTTTTAGCAACTACAGTGTAACTAGAGTACAGTTCTATTTTGAGAGGTTGTGAAAAAACCACTTTGCGTATGTTCTATTAATATAACTGCTAAGCTATATTTAGAAATGATGGAATTTTCTTGAATAAGTTGCATTTGTGAGCCACTCGCAAGTTCAGTTAAAATACACATTCATTTTGTATACCAACTTTTGTCACCAATGGTTTCCTGCATGTGAAATTGGGTCAGATATAAAATAGCAAAAAGAATTGCACAATACCACCTTAGCATAATCTTTTTAAGAATGAGCTGTTCAGTAGTGATGCAAATACTGTAGGAATGGTTTGATAATTAACCTTAATTGACTTTATACATAAATTGAAGATCTGCCTGTGAAACTTGGATAGTGGCCTTTTCCACCAAACAGGAAAGAAATTTTGATGTTCAGAGCAAAGTGGTACAGTTTGTGATGCCCATATCTTGTACTTATATTAAAAACAGTTCCCCATCTATTCAAAATCTACATTTTATTGACTAAATTTATAATTCTTGATGTAGCCTAAATTAAAATTAAGTGTTAGTTTTTACGTCCGGGATTTGAAACTATTTTTTGGTAAGGATATTTACTATTTTCTATTTAGTATCCTATATACTACAGTAGTCGAAAACGGGCTGGTAAATAATGTATTCTGCCATTTAGGTTTCCATCTCTTCGTAATTACTTTGGCCTAGTCTGGTGATTGTAGAATCACCTGATTATGATGAATTGACATACCACATCTATTATAAGTTTGGTTTTTTCCATAAAGATATTCAATTGTGTACTGGCAGTAAATGCCACGTCAAAAAGTATGTTAAAATATTATTTTTAAGTTCTGGTTTTCCCATTTAATTATTCATGCTTTATGTGCACAGTTCATTGTTTAATCTCGCTAGAATAACATTGACTTTCTGAAATTGGAAGATCCTATTATCCTGTCAAGTAGTCAATACTGTACATGAACATTTTGTTGTCAAGATTACTGTATGAATTTATTTATTTTTGTTTATCTGGCAGTGGTAAACTCAGGGCTAATCTGCCAACAATAATAATTCTTTTTTACAACACTATGGCATACCTGTCAACCTTGAGAAATTTCAACAAGAAGATCGGGTGCCACATAACAAGTGCCAATGGCACGAACAGTGGCTTTGGGCCAGGGGGCCGCCAAGGGCTCCCGATCGGAGTCTAGTACCGCCTGATTATAAATCGATGGGAAATCAACCAATAGTTAGGGTTATAGTGGCCTGAATATTTGTTCTTTTTCGTCACTAGCATTTGCACCAAAGAGCCTATAAAGTTGTGCTGTTGTCTGATACAGAGTCAGTCGCATTCTTTAAAAATTCAACATGCAATTGTTTAGATCCCAGGGAACGATTGGGTATTCAAACACCACGCACATAGCTAGAGAGTGCGCAGTGATGACTATTTTAGTTGATATTAATTGCGATTTCATGGGGAGAAGTGCTTGTGACCATAATCATGGAGGTAGAATGTTATGATGATGAATGTTAGATATAGTAAAGTTCATTACAAATTGAGAAAGAAACAAAATTTAGTCGAATTTTAGGATAAGCGTAAGTTTTGCCGGTGTTTGTGTAAGATTGTAAGATTTTGATTGGACAGGTTGACAGGTCTACTATGGCCGTATTATCTTATCATTTATTTGACATGGCTGTAGCATTGGCATAATTTTGTCTTGGTAGACCAGCAGAAAATTACGTCCCAAAACAGAAAGGGAAATTTATTACCAGTATTAAATAATGTTGATGTTTTGGAGATGAATGGAACTGTGTAGCCTATTCAAGATTCTTTTCTTCAAGCTTTTTTGGGGTACCCTTTCCCCTCCTAAAGATAATACTCTACAGGTAACTGAGGGTTTAGCTAACTGACCTCAGGCAAATGATAATGAGAATGGTCCAGTAGAAAGTCACTCATCTACCTGATGGCCAGTAATGGTCTTCCAGAGAAAACCCAGTTCATTACAATTAAGGTCACTGACTTACATTCTTGATTTCTATATTTTTCATTCAATATAATGTTTGGTGTCCTGAGTGAATGGCAGTCATTTTCTTCTAGCCATGATGAGTATGAAAGGGAAATTGACTTTTGAGCTGTAGGCCTATTCCTCCATGACTGATCACAATAGAACAAATTCACAAAACAGTTTGCATTTCAGTCTAAACCTGAAAAGGTCAATCTCATCAAAATTTATATCAATTCAGTATTTAGATGTATTACATTTGAGTTTTATAATAAATTCTTCTACTAAAACAATAAAACTGTGGCATTGGCTCAGTTTTACTACTGTACTAGTACTATGATTAATGATAATTACTGTACTAGTACTATGATTAATGATAATTACAGTAGAACCTCGTTTTTACGTACCCCAGTTATACGAACCCTCTGTTTTACGTACGCCTCGTATGGACA